AACCTTCCCAAACCTTCCCAAACCTTCCCTTCCCTTCTCCCTTTCCCCGGGCCCTCTCCAGCTGCAGTTTTCCATGGCCCAGCCCAGCTGGGCTCCCAGGGGACACACACACACAGTTCCCAGAGTTTGGGCTGTGCCCCCCACCCCCCCCAGCCCCTCACCACGGACCCTCCTCTCCTCCCCAGCCCATTTCCAGCAGAAAATCACCGAGTACCAGGAGCAGAAGAAGCACCGAAGAGACTCCTGAGGCCCAGCTGGGATCCGGGAGCAGGACTGGGACTGGGATTGGGACACTGGAGGTGTGCCCTGTCCGAGGGCTGAGCAGCCTGGACTCAGCTGGATCTGTCCAGGGGTTCTGGGGCTCCTGGGCAGCACCAGCCCCAGCTCCCCCTCATCCTCAGGGCACCATTGCACTGGAAAACACGGAGCGAGCGCCAGGCCGGGATCTCCCTCCTGGCTCTGCTCACTCCAGGACTGACTGTGACTCCACAGGCTCAGCCCTTGTCCCGTCACACAGAGCCAGGACAAGGCTGCAGGGGGATCACTAGAGGGAAAAATGGGACGAGTAGGAAGTGAAAGTCACCTCTCATCAAACTCAACCAGGGGTTTGCAAACAAGGAACATCCCCTTGAGCGATTGCTGAGGTTTCTGTTATCAACAACTGTTTGATTTGATTTCCCATCACACCCAGCTCGTTGTTCAGCCCCAGCAGGAGCAGGTGGGTGGGTTTAATGGTTTCCTCTCTTGCACTGCTGCCACTTAGAGCCAAGTTTAGTTTTCTGAGGAAAGCAAAATACTCTTTGCCAGGTTATTTATTTGTGCTGGAGCAAAACTGTGAAGGCCACGGGGCTGGGGGGGAAACAGCTGATCAACAGCTTGGGGGAGGGAGGTGGGATTTGTTCAATCCTGGAGTAAAACGTGTTGTTACCCCTTCTCAGTTCTGGTTTTGATCCCAACTTCTTTTCAACCCTTGCAGCTCCTCCCTGAGCAGATTTAGGGCCAAAGAATGGTTCTCCTTTCCTAGTGGGAGTGAATGTTGCAGCAGGAAAAGGGGCTCTGGCTGCAGGAGTGACAGGGGCATTCCCAGAGAAACCAGTGCCAGGGGCTCCTCCCAGCAGGGGATGAAGGCAGAGCCTCCTCCTCCTCTCTGGGGTGTGACACCAGACCCTGAAGCATCAACAATCTCCTGGAATCATGGAATGGGTTGGGTTGGAAGGGGCCCTAAAGCTCATCCTGTTCCTACATGGGACACCTTCCACTATCCCAGGTGGCTCCAGGTTTATCCAACCTGGCCTTGGACACTTCCAGGGATGGAGCATCCTCTGGGAATTCCATTCCAGGGCCTCACACCCTGCAGGGGAAGAATTCCTTCCCAATATCCCATCTATCCCTGCCCTCTGGCAGTGGGAAGCCATTCCCTGTGTCCTGTCCCTCCATCCCTTGTCCCCAGTCCCTCTCCAGCTCTCCTGGAGTCCTTTTAGGCCCTGGAAGGGGCTCCAAGGTGTCCCTGGAGCCTTCTCTTCTCCAGGGGAACATTCCCAACCCTCTGATCCCTTGGTGCCTCCTCTGGCCTGGCTCCAAAACCAGTTTAACCCAACTTTTGCAGCACTCCTGAAATCCCCAGGGAGGGATTGGACACAAACACTAAAACTGCACCAGCCTTTGCTTTCAGAGCCGGGCACATCAACCCAAACACCCCAGAGGGGAAGGTCATTTATCTGGGAGCTTTTCAGCACAGAAACTTGGCTGGACAGAGGGAACAAACAGCAGGAGAGGAAGAAAAGTGTGGATTTTTGTTCAGCCCCCACCTGTGTTTGGAGGGGGAACAGCAATTATTGGTTAGGGGAAAAAGTGGGGTTTTGGTGTCTTCTGTGGCTCCACAAGTTCCCCCCCACGGGCAGAGAGGGTGGCACAGGAGTAACTGCAGGAAACTCAAGGTCAGTGGGTCTCTCTGTGGTTTGGTTTGGGGTTTTTTAAAATATTTTTATCCTTAGAAGTTCAACTGACAGCAGAAAACGGTGTGGAAAATCCAGGGCACCTGTCAGGAGAAATCTCTTTGGAAAAGGCCACTCCTTCCCCCCTTCCCCTACCTGTTCATCACCACTGGGAGGAGACTCCAAACTTTCGGGTTGTGAAGCCAAAAACCATCTCATTGAGGAAACTGGGAAGTGGAACCTGTCTGGGGAGCAGTTCTTTATAAAGGAATCAGGAATCACCCGAGGGACTGGACTGGGGGTGTTCCTTAATTCCTGCTGGAGGAAAAATGTGACAGAGGGTTATTGCTCAGCTGCTGAAGCAGACACACAAACCCTGAGCCTTACACTAAAATAGGTATTTTTCCCAAGCAGTTGGTGCTCCAGCTGCAGCAAGGGGAAAACACAGCAAGTAGGGGGGTGGGGAGGCTTCAGAGTCATCAAATCCCAGGATGGGTTGGGTTGGAGGGACCTTAAAGCCCATCCAGTCCCACCTTTCCATGGGCAGGGACACCTCCCACCATCCAGCCTGGCCTTGGGCACTTCCAGGGATGGGGCAGCCACAGCTTCCCTGGGAATTCCATCCCAGCCCCTCCCCACCCTCCCAGGGAAGGATTCCTTCCCAGTATCCCTCTATCCCTGCCCTCTGGCAGTTTAACTCCATCCCCCCTGCCCTGCTCAGGCACAAAGTCCCTCTCCCCAGTTTTTATAAACTCCTTTTACATCCTGGCAGTTTGGGAGGAGCTTTAACACCCCTTTAGTGCCCAGCGTGGGCACAGACCAAGGATTGCCAGAAACATCCTCCCCAGCAGGAACCAGGAGCAGGGAAGGAAGAAATCCCCGTGCTGGGAGGGCAGACACTGAATAAACCCCCTGACTTCTCCCTTCGAACTCTGCCTCTCTCCAACCACCTGCCTGCAGGTGGGACCAGGGTTTGCTGGGAAAAGGCAGTGGGGTTTTCTGGGAGCAGGGACAGGTTCAGATTGCAGCAGCTCAGCACAACTCCCAGGGTATTTTTAAATCCTCCTTCCCGCTCCAGCTTCACCCACCACTCGATCTGAGCCTCCAACAGGCAACAAAACAGCGCCAAGAAATGTTTCCCTGGACTGGAAAGTGCTGGTTTGTTCAGCTGGGTTGTTGACACAGCTCCCAGTGGCCAACCCACACCCCCAAACAGCTCCAGCAGCCCCTGATTTGGGATTCAGTCTCTGCCCCGGGGGAGATAAGGTTCGTGCCATGGCATGTGTCACCCTGTGCCAGTGCCAGCAAACATTCCTGCCTGGATTCACCCTTCCAGAGCCGAGTGCTCCACGTTCCCCCAGCTCCCACCTCCCCTGAGCCTCCTCCAGCCTCCCCTCTGCCCTCTGGGAATGACCAAACTCCTCTGCAGCTCCTCTCCAGACTCCCCAGCAGCACTGGGGGCACCTGGGACCCTCCAGGCAGGACGGGAAAAGGGAAAAATATCGGGTGGAACAAAAGTGGAGGCACAGCCAGAGGCCCTGAGGTGTCCTGAGCTGCCTCTTTCTGTTAAATTCCTCATCCCAACCAGCAGCTCCTCCAGCAGCTCAAGAGGCACCACTGCAGCACCAAGGGCGAGTTCCCAGCTGGTTTTCCCAGTTTTAGGGGCAGAGAACTGGGCAGAACAGGCTCTGTTTGTTCAGGAGGGTGTGCTCGGGTGCTGCTGCTGAAGTTCTTCCTCCTGAGCCTCTTCTGGGCACAAAGGGAAGTGGAGAAGCCCCTCAGGCTGAGCCCTCACATCCCTGCTCCCTTCCCAGCTCCACCAGCACGTCCTGCACGACCCCTGGGCACAGACTGGGCCGTGGCATCCAGGGGGAAAGGTTATTATCCCATTACTGATTCCGGGGACTGTACCAGCCCCAGAGCCACAGCAGGACTGGGACTGCAGCAACCATTCCTTGGGAACTCTGAAACCAGCAGGGAAACGGGAATCTTCTCCTGCCCGGGGGCATCCAAACTTCCAGGCAGTGAGAAGCTCAGGGAAAGGTGCCCTCTTGCATTTCCTCGAGGAAAGTTTAAGTCCCAAACAACCCTTTTGAAGACTTTGGTTCTTCTCCAGCATCAAGGATCGGGGACAAATTATGTGGAGCAGCTTCACCCCAAAGGCCTGAGAGCACAAAGGCCTTTCCATGGGTTTGGGCTGTCTGGTCAAAGGTTGGGCCTGATGATCCAACGGGAATGATCCTGGTTGGAATTATCCACATTAAACGCCAGGGAGGGACTTTCCAGGCAGACTTTTTGCACCCACTGGTGCTGGGAAAGGAACTGTGGGTTGTGAGGGGCCCTCAAACCCTCCCCCTGCAGAATCGGCCTTGCAAAGACACTGAATTACCTGGGTCAGCCCCAGCCCCAGCTCAGAGTTAAACTCAACACATTTGAACTCAATAAATGAGCTCTGAGAATTCCAGTTACAGCCAAAAATGGGATCCCAGAAACGGCTCACACCGAGAGGCTCCCAGCACTGGGATATCTGGGATCCTGGGAGCTGCCCAGTGTGCCAGGAACCAAAACCTCCCTCAGGCCCAGCCCGGCAGGGACCCTGGGGGGACCCCAACACAGTGCCCAGAGAGCTCTGACCACGACCCCAAAGCTGCTCCCAGGGAGAAAAGGTTGGAGTTCAAGGGTGAAGAGGGCGAGCCAAGAGAAGCTTCCTCCTCATCCCGAGCATGTTCCTCATTCCCCGTGACCTCCAGGCCCCTCTGACACGAGGTGACCCTCAGGGAGGAACCAGGACAGCTCCCAGCACAGACACCACCGGCAGAGCCTGGCCCTGGGCTGGGCTCAGCTGAGGGACACCCCGGGCGGGGCCAGCCTGGGATCTCCTCACACATTCCCAACCGGAGCCACATTCCCGTGCTCTCTCAGCCCCACATCCCTGGAAGGACCCCGGGCAGCCTGCCCTGGGCACAGGGGCTCTGCAATGTCCCCAGGCACCGGAGGGATGGGGTTTTCTCGGCGCTTCCTGACCCGTTCTGGGTCTGTGGTGCCACAGGAAAGCCACGTCAGCCCTTCCTGGGGCCCGGGGGTTGGTTTGTTGCTTTGTTGCTCTTTGGGTGGCGCTTTTTGGGGTTGGTTTTTGTTGTTTTGAACCTGAGCTGAGCTCAGTTCCTGGCCCAGGACAGGCCCTTGTCCTCAGGCTCTGCTGTGGCTCCAGGGGCTGCGTTTTCTTCCCACCCTCAGTGAGATGCTCTGGGGAGGGGGATTTCAGACATTCCCCCCAGTAGTCCCCACCAACTCTCTCCCCAAAATTCAGCTC